TCATGGGTATTCAACAAATGAACTTTGTAGAAAGTTTTGATGAGGAAGGGTGCCTCTTTCAGAATTGTGAATTTCGTGGACCCTGGGTCAGGAATTCTGGTGCCACTTACTTTTCTTATTTGTCGCTTGACCCCCGTGGGGACCCGGGTTAGAATAGGTCCTCAGTACCCCTTGCTTGTCGTAAAAGGCGACTAAATGGGGCGGTCCTTCGGATGAGACCGTATAAACCGAGGCCCCGTGTCACAGCAGATGTGGCACGATAAAGATCCCTACCTGCTCAAAGGCACTGAGTGCCGAGCATAGGCCTAAATTTGCAGCCCTTCACCGGCAATGGTGACGTCTCCATATCAGTGAAATATTCTGGAGAGGGACGTTAAACAATATTCAATAACAATATTTGTCGCTTGCGTGGCGCAGTTGTGAATTAAGAAGTTGATCCTTACGTCGCAGGATGAGACCGTATAAACCGAGGAGGTCCCGTGTGGCAGTAAGTGCTGGCAAGAAAAAGATCCCTCTCTGCTCAATGACCCTGAGTGACGACTTTAGGACAAAATTTGCAGTTCTCCATCGGCAAGTGGTGGCGTCTCCATAGAAGTGAAAAATTCTCGAGTGGGACATTAAACAATATAACTTTCCTTATTTGATAAGTAGCAATCTATCTTTATCACCAGCATATTATGGAGTTGGTAACTATCAATTGATTCATTAATTGCGAACGAACTAAATCAAAGTTTTAGTCGATGTGAAGAATTAGTTTACCTCTCTGTTGAATACCGGGAATCAAAATTGATCTTTATTAAAATTTTCAATTAGACAAAAATCAGATCGACAAGCAACCAGACTATTTATCAAAGAAACAAGAGGTGTTTGTTAAACACTTATGTCCCCCTCTCCCAAATTGGAATTTTTCTAAGTCGAAATGGCATAACTCTGTCAAAAGTGGCTTGATCGTACCCAAAACCAAACTTGACCTAGATATTTTAATAATAAATGTGAATACCAAATTTCATTTCAATATATGCAATCTCTGCGAAGAAAATGAACGAAAATGCAATTTATTGGAATTTTTCTAAGTCCAAGGGTCATAATTCTGTCCAAAATGGCCCGATCGTATCCAACACCGAAGTTGACCTAAATATTCTTATGATAAATCTGTATCACAGGCACTTGTTTCTGTATTAAATTTTTGACCCATAGTATAATGATAACACAAGGTATCTAACTCCGATTTACACCGAGTACCCCCCCTCCCTTAGGATCGCGCTCATTTACACTTTCAGAGGAAATGCACGGGTAAACTGTTTATACCTATATTTCTAACATAATTTATCTACACAACCATACATGTATCTAGCATGCTTGTCATTATTTTCTTTTATCTCCGTAATCAGCTTCAAAACTCTGCTCGCCGAGTGGAAAGTGAAACTCAACCATAGAATGGTATGTTCTAGTCTCAGGCAAAGAATAAGACCTCGAAAATCTGTTTCTAAAATTACATCGGAAAAACATCGTAGTGTTTTTATGAAAAATAAGACACTATGAAATTTTATTTATTCAATACAATATTTAAAATCTGGAATTGAATTTTTAAACCCACGCATTCTTTAATTTTTCTCTTTGCCCGAGATTAGCACATACCGTTTTATGGTTTAGTTCGACTTTTCCACTCGGCAAGTAGAGTTTTGACGCCGTTTACGGAGATTAAAGAAAACAAAGACAAGCAAGCCATATATGGTTGTGTAGATAAATTATCGTAGATGACATAGGTATAAACAGTTTGCCACTGCCTTTTCTCTGAAAGTGTAAATGAGTGCGATTCTAAGGGAGGGGGGTACTCGGTGTAATTTGGAGTTCGATACCTCATATTATCATTATACTATGAGTAAAAATTTATTCCCGAAACAAGTGCCTGTGATCTGTATACCATATTTAATTTCAGTATGTGCAACATATGCGAAGAAAATGAACGGAAAATACATTAATTCTTTTAAAATCTTCTTCTTTGCTCCTGGGTATTAAACCAATTAACTATGTACATAGTTATGATGAGATAGGATGCCTCTTCAAAAATTGTCAATTTCATGGCCTCTGGGTCAGGGGTTCTGGTGTTAGGGCGGGGCTCTAATGATAATATAGTGAAAATGCATGAATTCTTTGAAAATTTTTCCTTTATTGCTCCTGGGTATTATGCCAATGATCGAAGTGTATAATTATATTTAAAGGACTTAGCGCATGGTTCCTTTATTTTTGAAATTTTGACAGAAATAGAATATATATGCATCGAATAATAATTTATTTCTCTCAAAAGCAAATAAAATTGCTTTAATTTAAAGTTGAATTCAATTAAAATTTCAATCGCTCTTTATGCATATTCTACCCGAGATTTTACGCGCCATATTTCTTGTGACGTCAAAGGCGACAATTCGAGCGAGAAAATGTGGAACAACTGTGCAGTCATTGTTTGGATAATCTCCTAATTGGATGAAATAATTACCGTTATCTTGTCAAATGTGATGATAATAGATGACTCTTAGTGACAATGGTTTATTGTGTTGCCTATGGTTGTTCAAACACTCAGAAAAAGGGGAGCGGACTAAGTTTTTTCAGCTTTCCAAGTGATGCTGCAAGGAGAAAAGTTTGGACATTTTACTGTCGGCGGAAAGGCTTCGTACCAACAAATAACAGTAGATTGTGCTCTAAACATTTCACTAGGTGTCAGTTAGAAAGGGATCCAGATAGAATGTTGGTAAATGGGTATTCGAATGCCAGGATTCGGCTTCGCAGCGACGCTGTTCCAGATGTACCCCTCCTAATCAAGCCCCAGGATGAGAACGCCGCCATTGTTATCCCGTCTAAGAAGCCCCGGGGGGCTTTTATTAAACGACAGCGGGCTGATGTAAGTGTACATTTGTATATCTTAATTAATTATTAAATTATTTATTAAATAATATAGCAAAAGTTCAGCAAGTCTTGAAAAAATATCCAGACTGAGTCCTCGTCTCATGAGTGCACTTGCACTAGTAAAATTTGTTTTTTTTTTTTTTTATATACGAGGGAAAATAAATGTGATAGCAATCAGAGACATATGTCTCTGTAGCAATGCAGGAAAATGAACAATATTTTCCCTAAATGAGAATAGATGAATTGTTTTCTATGAATGAGATTGAATAATTAATAATCAAAATAAAATAAATATATACACATGTTAATAAATAATTTGAAAAAAAAGTCAATTTAAAAATTGAACAAATTCAGTCATGTAAAGGGTGTGATAACATGAAAAAAAAAAATTATGGGCTTATATTAATATCTGTACATCAGATACTCCATGTCATATTATGTGTATTTTGTGTCAATATTAAAAGTAACAAAAATGTTCTCAGATTCCCTGCCTAAATGTCCTACAAGAATTAGAGCCACGAAACGTGGAGGACACATCAACCCAGCACTACCCCCCAGATCCACAACCATTACCGGAGACTGCTTCCGATCCCGGAGCAGAGACCACAGTCCCAGAGAAGGAAACATCCACTATCAACACCCCTATTGCTGCAGTGACTCAATCCAAGAAGTGTCAGGCATCTATTCAGGTTCCCCAGAGAACTAGAAGAATCCAGGTCTCCCTTCCTATGTCATCAAGTGTTCAGACTGTGTCCACTAGAGTCCAATGCTCCAGTCTATGTGATGGTGTCTCATTGCGAGTGGCTGCAGGCTTAGCAACTTTGCCAGATCTCACCCCCCAGGATCCTTACGACTCAGACTCAGCGAGTGATGATGAGGAAGAAGACAGCCAGAATACACATGACCCAGATTATGATCCGCTGGATGATGACATCTCGAGTGATGAGGAGATCGAGGATACCCAGGATATGCATGTCACTTGTCCATTACGCACAGATGTCCCACCAGAGGAAGAGCGACAGTTTTTGGTATCCGAATCGTGCTTAGCCCAGCTGTTACAGAAATGTGGCTCTTGTGATGGTGTATGTAATTCTGTGTTGCAGTTCACAAGAGGAACTATGATAGGGACACTTTCCACTTGCCCTAATGGACACTCTTCCCAGTGGGAGAGCCAGCAGTGTCATTATGGAATGCCATGGTCTAATATTCTTGTAGCTAGTGCCATAGTGTTTAGTGGATCCAATGTATCCAAGAGCTTGCGTCTATTTAGACATTTGAAACTCACCATGATGTCAACATCAACCTTTAACCGGATTCAGACTGCCTATGTGATTCCAGCCTCACTTTTTACTTGGGATTTTCATCAGGAAGAGCTTCTTCGAAACAGTGAAGGAAAGATCCTAACACTTGGAGGTGATGCTAGGTGTGATTCCCCTGGATTCTCAGCAAAGTTTGGATCCTACACACTCATGGATTTGGAGACAGGAAAAGTCATGGATTTTCAATTGGTTCAGGTACACACACATCATGCTTATGTGTAACTATTTAATATGTAAAATATAAATGTTGTTTGTCTATCATTTTTATGTCACTACATGAAATTATTGTCATATTATTGCAATGCCCCCCCCCCCAATTAACATAATTGCCTTTATGAATACATGTATATGTAATCTAATATTCATTCATAATAAATTTTTTTTTATTGCATTTAGAGTAACGAAGTTGCTGGGTCTACTCATATGGAGTTGGAGGGTTTGAAACGCAGTCTTCGTAGACTTGGTGATGCAGGACTTCATGTCCGAACCCTGGTTACAGACAGACACGGTATGGTGAAGAAATACATGAGGACAGAACACCCAGACAAAAACCATTTCTTTGATGTGTGGCACATGGCTAAAGGTATATTTCTTAAAGTTATTTTGATTAAAATGCAAGTTAAAATTTTGACATTTTTATAAAACTACTAAATTTTTAATATGCAGGAGTCTCAAAGAAGTTAGAAGCTGCAGCCAAAAAGAAAGATTGTCAGAACATCAGGCCATGGGTCAAAAGTGCAGTCAACCACTGTTACTGGGTGGCTGTCTCTAGCGGGGAAAATGGGGAACTCAAGGAGCAGAAGTGGGCATCCCTGACTCAACATATCGCTAACAAACATGATAGTTGTGAACATGGGGTATTGGCTGAAGATAAGCTTTGGCTTAAAGAAGGTATTACCGTACATCAAATTTTATCACATCTTTAGGTCACTCTATGAAACTACTGAACTATTTAAATAGTTGTACAATGTGTATAATAAAAGTAATGTCCAATTTCTATAATAAAACTTATCTTATTTTAAGTTATCAATGACTGACTATTGTTTCCCATAGGTTCAAGGGCCCACAAACTTTTTCGAGAAGTGGTGGAGAGTAAATTTCTGTTGAAGGACATTGGCAAGTTATCCCCCCTTCATCAGACGTATGGACTGGAGGTTTACCATAGTGTGGTCAACAGTTTTGCCCCAAAGAATACACACTTTTTTTATCCTGCAATGATGGCCAGGTACGATATTTATAAACATAAAGCATGAACAAATGAATCATTTTCTTTTGATTTTAAAAGAATTTATTTTGATCATAAAAATGAACCCATAAAGTTTTAAATATCTGAATTATGAATTATTTTAGGCTCTGTGTAGCATCACTACACTTTAATGAAAATGGAAGGAGACACCAAGCCTCCACAAGAGCAGGTGAAGCCCAATGGCAGCTTAGTTATCCTAAGGCAAAGAAAGGGGAGCATGCTGTAGTCAAACCACACAAAACTCAAATCACTTATGGTATGTTATATTTTTTTAGATAAGAAATTCTTTATATAACCAAACACAAATATAATAATTAAGATAGAAAAATTTATTAAAACCAAATTTATATAATTTTTTAGTGATATCAACGTGTAATATCAAATATCAAAGTTATTTCATTGTTTTAGAAACTTATGATTGTTAAATGTTAACATTAACTTTAACAACTGCAGATTATGTTGATCTGTTGAGGATGAATTTGGTGGAGCGTCGGAGAAAGTTCCCTTCATATTCAACGGCTTCTTCAGATGCGCGTGTATCTCTAGGGTATCAGCCACCACCTTTGACCTCTTCATATGCTGCAGTCAACAAACAACAGCTGATTATGTCAAGGCGCACCAGATTCGCTAGGTGATGGACTTATACTGGTCGAGGGTACTGGAATCCGGTGTAGTATTCTGAAGGAAACCTATCACGAATCTTGTTGACAACACAAGATGGTAGTACCTTTCGGTTGCCGCGACCAAGCCTATGCCAGACCCAGAATACAAACCTCCTGTATGCAATGTGACGAAGAACTCTGCAAATTGATATGAATTATTGAATGATTTTTAAACTGATTGTATTGTTATAATTAATTCTTCTTTTAAACAATGTAAATCATGTTAATTAATTGAAATTTATAAAATTTATTTTTCCATTAAATGTAATTTTGAATGTAAGTTTGCTTATTAAAATATTATGATCCATAGTTAAATAAAATATATGATTTTTTTTTAAAACTTTGCACACTGAAGTTTGATACATATGCAATTAAGATAAATATTTTCTTCCTTGCCATGAATTAGAAATAGTTATGCTTGTATGAACAGTTTTAATTCTTACTCGTTCATTGGCTCATTATCATCAAGAGGCCCCTCCATTTGGATGTATTCATGCAGGCTGACCTCTAATACCCTCTCATTGAGGCAGTTGTCAATAAAGGTTTGGTGTTGTGTGATGCATTCTAGGTTGCAGTCCTGGCAGATTCTTTGAATGAGTGAAACTTCTGCACAGCAAATGCATTCAATACTGGTCCTCATGACCTCGCAAAAGCCACATTCGCACCTGAAACAAATGCATGTAATTCTTATAAAAATAGATTAGGATTAAACAATCAAAAAGTAGCTAAAATTAAAAGGCCAGAAGCAGAAGTCGCTTATTTATTTCTTATAAATGACATACCTCCTGAATTTTTAAATTTACACATAATCATTTTGAAAAATGTGCTCACATTCTTTATTGACCCCCACCCTCCTCCTTTATGGGATTTGAGAAAATGGTTTGATTTATTAGGATAATGATAAAAAAAAGTTCAGTAATTTAGAATAACATCGTATTCCGATTTTGATTACCGTATTTGTCCATCTGTGTATGTGTATTTGTTTTATGTATGATGACATGACACCAAATAAATACCGGTACTACTACTACTATCTCTCTCTCCATCTCTCTCTCTCTATGATGCGTATTTTCTAGTTATTCAAAATCGTACTTTAATACTAGATTCAAAATGTTATATCTTTATTCTAAGAAAAAAAAAAATATTCGTATATTATGACGATAGATTAATGAGAAAAATAAGGTTATACGAACGAAATATGACAAACCATGCTGTATTTCCGAGGCGAGTCTCCTCGTCGTTGCCCTCGTCTTCCTCACTTTCTTCGCTGTTCTCTTGTTGATTTTGTAGATTTTCAGCTGCTAACGGCTCGAACATATATGGTTGAATATCTAACCTATCAGGGATGTCAACAATATCAGCAATTTGGTCGTCCATAATTAGAAAAGTCGGGTAGGGGTTTGGTAAGAATAACGTGAACAGATGATCGGTATTGTCGCCTTTGACGTCACAAGACCACGTGACCCGCAAACTCATTAACTTTTTTTCTTCCAAATCGGAGGTTACATTTGAGCTGATTATTTTCTTAATTACTGCAGTTTGTCAACAATGCAAACAGAAAATTTATAAAGTGTAGTCAGAAGGAAGGTATATGCATTAAATTTTTAATAATTGAGAACCATGCGCTAAGTCCTTTAAGATGATGAAAGGTGCATCCAGTAATTGTATGCCCCCTGGGTGAGGGGGGTGTTGGTTGGTTACATAGTTTGAAAATAAATTAATGCTTTGAAATCCGCTCTTTGGTATTAACCAACCATTGGTGATAAAATAAAATTTCCAAAATTTTGAAATATGTGGCCCCAGGGTCAGTGGTTCCTATAGGGTGGGATGCACAACTGGTTATAAAGTGGAAAAGCATTTTCTGTTTGTTACTCTAATCTAACTCTGGAGTAAGCATGCGAAGTGTATAATTATGATAAGCAATGGTGCCTCTTTCAATATTGTGAATTTCATGGCCTCTGGTTTAAAACACGAACCAAATAAAATTGTTGGAAAGTTTTTACATGATACTCGGGTGACCTCTAAGGCCCGTGGGCCTCTTATCAGCAAAAACAATCTGTGGTAAGCTTGTTTTATAAAGAAGATACCGGTAAACTAAATATTTTCTAACATCTCTTCAGTGTAGGAAATGGTGATTTAGGTTACATTTAAATTTTTTGTGCAGTTGTAAATACCTTGATTGGTATAATTTTGTAGAAGGCAAGGAAAACGAACAGTTATCGACCTGAAATCTAGTATAAACAATACAAATCTGAGGAAAGCATATAACACTGACCCCTGGATATCCCAGAGATACATGTAGAATCAGGCCTGAAGGCCATAAAACTTGGACAAGCTCACTTTGGATTTCGGTCTCAATTTTCTACTATTAGTTCCTTTGGGAAAAGAGAGACTGAGATCAAAAGTGAGCTCATCTAAGTTTAATGACCCCGAGGTCTTGTCTCTTGGAGGAGTAAGCATCTCCTGTTGATTGATCACCCCTGGCGTGGGTCCAATGTTTATTGATCAGAAAGACAAATCTGTTTAGGAAAAAACTACGGCCCAACAATGTGTATGAAAGTCTGCACAAATTCGATCTACTGATATGTCGTAGTTGATAACGAGGTTATATCGACCAATAGAATTTACAACATGCCGACTTTAAACGGCACTGCTAAAATCCCTGTAACGTCAACTTATCAGTGAGTAGCATGCCTCCCTTAAAAAATGACCGTTCTTAAACCAAGCTCTTGAGTAGCGAATGAGTTCGGAGACATGAAAATCATACCATTAAGCAGGTGATAGTGGAAAATAAGTACATTTAAAGGGAAAATGACGATGGAAAAAAGCTGGTCATCTTGTTTGTCACACAATTTAGCTGTTTGTTGGCTCTTATCGTCTACAGTCTGTAAAAAAATTCCAAAATATAAAACAGATTTAATATGACAGATACATGAAGGTGCAAATTTAAAATTAAATAAAAAAAAAACCCAGCGCAATATGATCTATTATCATTATCAATATATAATAGATAAATTGTAAAAACGCCAGATTTTACAAAAATACATGGCACTGTCGTTAAATATTTTTCTTTTGCATAAGTGTCAAAGGCTGTATATCTCGTGTGTTTTTCTGGTAAATTTTTGGAATTCGATCACACTTCAATATTTTCTCTTTTCTCATTACATTAGTTTCTTTTGTCACTTATGCTGTAGGATACTCTGAATAATTAAGTACAACAAATGGAATGACTGTCAAAAGTATTATATTTCAAGCTTAAGAAATAGTCAAGGTTTTCTTTTAATACATGTCATTTCTATTTCTTAGCCAATGGAACAATAGTAATTTTGATACATGCTATTTAGGTGTAAAATAAATGCATGTAATTAGCCGTTAGTAGGGCAGTTAAATAATTTGAACATACTGGTTGAACTTTTCACACATATTTCAAGTCTAAGATGTAAACCATCAAGTTTTGTTGAAAATAAACCGTTGTCATGATATGAACAATACAAAATATATATATCGAAAATAAATAGAAACGATTTTCTTACAATATTTGTGTAAAAATTACCATATATCGATGAATTGTACAAGACAGTTTCATCTTTTTTCAAAGTACCAAAATATCTCAATGGAACAATTCTTGTTCAACTTGCTGATATGTTGGGTTATTCCCCGTGTCCTATAGAAAAATGCTAATTTTATTAATTATTATTATAGCAAACCATTGTTCAATCATTCATCGGTCTTCCTATGTCGTATTGTATTTTAAAATATAAATTATAATAATTTTAATAAATATATTTTTAACTTTAAATATCGTTTCAGGCATTTCAAGAAAAACATGGATTCGTCGAGAAGGAGTAGGAACATTTGCCTATCGTGCAATTTAATTAGGTTACCGTTTAACTGTGTGTTGAAGATTTAATGCGTTTATAAATAAAAATACGCGAAACAAAAGTTCTTACCTTTGAATATAGATTATCATAAAAATAGGGAGGTCACTTGTCAGTCAGAAAATTGTCATAAAATACTGCCTTAAATGCATGCTGTCTATTACTTGTGTGGTAAGTATTGTGTTTATAGCTTTCTTTACACATGCATCAACGTAATATAGATGATAATGGGCCACCATTTTCAGATGAAACTTTCATAATTTGTGGTTTCCTGTTTCCTTAGATTTACGGAAATCTCCAATCATGAAAAAGTGCAAGTAATTAATGTCATCAGTAATCGATAATGAGAATTGTTTATAGAAGCCTCTGATTTACAAGTTGATGTTACAAAATTATTGTATATCGTTTTCAACTATCTCTTTTATAGTCCGCATTTTGCAAATTCTATAATTGATAAAATGACCTTGTTTGCAAATACAACCACTATACTAGTTTGATCGTGTTTTGACCGAAATAATATGTACCATCTGTCGATCGGGCAATTGCTTTCACACTTATTTTGACCACGGATTTATTGGCTTAAAATTATGATCCAAACAGTAAGCTTACAGTGATTCTGAACATTCAGTAGGGATATACTCACCTCCTAGATACCCGATCCAACGTGATGAACATGACAATTGTTCACTTGCAATATTTCATCCACGATTTCTTTGTATTTTATCTAACATTTAACGCATTACTTTATACAATTAAAAGCAAAAGATATTTTATTTCATGGATAACTCAGACATACATGTATATAATTGCAAATGCAGTTCTGAAAATTTCTGGTGTGAAATAATAGACATGAACTGTCAATTACAAAGAAATTTAATTTTTTCTCTCCACTTTTTTTTCACATAAAATATACAGACTTATTAAAAAAAAAATTTTTCTGAGTCTTATGTGCTTTTGATATATTTTCCAATGAAAGGGTTACATCAGTTTTTGCTTCCTATTTTTCATTTTAAATCTTGATATTTTACACACAATTATCAATTCATTTAAATTCTTTTAATTTAACATATTACATATGTAATAAATTTTAGCAATATCCTATATGGAACACTATTACTTAAATATATTACCACATAAAACAAATAAGAAAAATGATATAACATATAATATACTATTTCATATATCATTAAAAAGAAAATTCATGTATGTAGTACTAAATGTATAAGCTACTTATATTCCTCTATATTTTGAATTCAAGATTCTCATGGAGTAATAAATATAACAGATTTAATCTTTCCTCTTTCGTTCAGCAGATTTTAAAAAA